ACACCACATATTCCATGATGAGCGTGAGGAAAAATGTTGGCAACGGATGTCGCTATAGATGGAGACCTATCATATATAATTGTAAGCTCCTCCATATAGTCTATGCAATCACATAGTTTTTGAAAAAACCATGTCCAAGAATATGTACAGTCATTTTGCATATACCATCTACAACCGATAATATTTGGTTTTGTTCGTCCTTAGTAACTGCAAGTAACATGGTACCTTTGAACTCTCCCTTTAGGTGGGTTTCATCTACTACAAGGGTCGGCTTACAATAATTAACAAACGCACATACCTACAATACATTGTATATCTATTAAAATACACAAAAATAAAACAAATAATAATAAAATATAGTAATACTAACCGAACAACCAAGTGCAACGTACATAACTCAAATCAATCATCACCATCTGTTTGAATATGTACCACGGTATCCGGATTATGTTTGACCAAATTGTGGAAATCAGCCGAAAGTTTGGTAAAAGAATCCTTTTTCGTACCCCTTAACAACAACAATGCATATTGCTTCACACGCCAAGTCTGATGGTATGAGATATTGATATTCAATTGAGCATTTATATCATTAATAATATATTGTCCCTGATATACTCTACTATAAACTTCAGCCAAAACATGAGCAATATATTCACCCAAAACATATTTGTTTGCTTGTCGATGATTAGGTTGCAAAATTGTTGAAGAACATGTATGTGCGTCAACAAATGTTTCACTTGGAAAAGTCTGCCAGAATTTTTAATTCCATTTGCTCTAAGTAACCAAGAACAATTTTCCCTACACACACAACCTCATACCTTGATTTGGTTGATCTAATTGTCCTCGTCTGAAAACCTTCTCGAAGACATTTTTTTCTCAATCGTCTGTTTTAAAAGCTCTTTGTTCTTAAATATAGTGAGACATTCAATCTTTTGAATGTTGATATCTACCATCTGTGCTGTGATATCTTCATTGACATCAACTAGATATGCTGGTATAGGGGGAATACCGTGAAAAATGTTATCGAGAATCTTAACTTTAACTTCATCACCCAACTCATCTCCATCATAATTGCTTTCTAAGTCGGTTATATCTAAAGCTACATCAACAATATCAACATAATCCCCGTAACCATGTAAATTTTTATCTTTCTGATTCATAACTTTTTTCTTTTTTTACTTTTACCTACTACACGCATATTCATAACTTTAACTTCTTGTTCGGGAACATCGACACAACAACCACCCACGTCATTAAGATATGTACCAACATCATCATCACTAACATAGTTGTAATTCTCAGGATCCACATAGTGAACATGCAAATACGTCACATTAAGATTTTTAGCAACATTATGAAAGTGAGGTACACTAGGAGTCATGAAAGTACCTATTGGATTGTTGCTACTTTTATCGCTGCATAAATTACCAACTGGCTCATTTCCACTCTGACCACCATCCATAACCGCATCACCTTCATCAACCACCACAAAGACTTTCATATCCCTTCATCCACTTGATTTGATTACATTGATTAACATTCTAACATCCATGTCTTCAACCATGACTATATAATGATTCAATTTAGGATGATAGAAACGAAGACTAATTTTTATATTTGTCTAACAAATCGGTTTTCATTCTCACCAAAGATACAAACTCACTATAAGTAATTACTCAGAAATATCAAAGCAAATTCATAAATACCTCCCTGTGGACATACGTATTCAAGATTTGCTTAAGAAACTTTCCACCTCCCACCAATTACAACGCAGACCAAATATTCATACATTTTTGTAGAGAGGTTTTCAACAAATTTTCCAAAAAAGTAATAAAAAAATGAAAATTTCTTGAAAAAGTTGATATATAGTAAGATTGTTTCGTAGTCAAACCCTATCAATTCCATAGAAAAAAAACAACTAAAATCGCAGATGGTAATCAGAGGAAATCGCAGATGGATATTCTGCGATTTTAGGGTGCAAAATGGCTTATATATACGGCGAAATTAAAAAAAAACAAACCACTTGCGAATGTACAAGTGCCTAGAGCACAGCCGTGCTTCAGGCACTTGTACATTCGCAAATGGGGTAGGGAAATCGCAGGTGGCTTCTTTCCATCTGCGATTTTGACGGATAAAATTGAAATTTTGGTTTTCTTTTGGCTATTTTTCATAAAGTAATTAGTGTATTTAGCTAAATTTGTAATTTTCTCTTTTAGTTGTCGTTACATATATATTAAGGGTTAATGTCATACAAAATATAAGTTTACGTCACAATTTATAATTTGACCTAATTCCTTTTATTTTTTATTTTCCTTTAATTCTAAGATGTTTCAATTTTCAATTAATGACCTCTAGCAGATTACCAATAGGTTGTTGCCTTGTTGCCGATAACCCATCTCACTTGAGCGCTTATGAACACGGAAACCCGTAAATGCCTTACACGAACCTCACCTTTTTGCAATGTGTACTTCTATGGTTCAAAACCTTATTGATGCATGCAAAAAGAATTTAGTTCATTATAAAGAAATAGATTAATATCATCCGTCAACAAAAATACTTCTCAGTAACCTATATTATTATATTCACCAACATTTGTAATATCATCTTTACGAACATATATGTCATTATCTTTCCCATGATCGAAATAGATTAATACCATCCATCAACAAAAATACTTCTTGGTAATCTATATGATTATATTCACCAACTTTTGTAATATCATCTATACCAACATATGTGTCATCATCTTTCCCATCATCAGTGTCACTTGCATGAAAAATATTGTCACATGTAGCAACATAATCATTACCATCACACTTATACCTTTTTTAGAGTAACATAACTAATTTGTTATTTTTCTGGTGTTTCATATATAACCTATACAACAATTTGTGATTGGAGCGGATCAACATTGCATTGATGTTTCATATACAACATATCCAAGAGGAAGTTGAGGAATACTTTGAGAAATAAAAATAACCGCTTGATTGTTCTGGTTGCATTTTTTGCTATATCAGTGACTCAGTTCCTACCAACAAATGATCGATTCGTTGCATTGTTTTTGAACAGTCAAAACCTATTCCACCAGTGCTTTGTCTATTAGATGAATGTATACAACAATTGAGAGTTTTTAAGTAACATTTTCAAATGTTTTATGTCATATCATCACCTATCTATATAACATACTTAATGTAGGATGTTGGATAGACCAATTGATATTAAGCATGTCTTCTAAATCAATAATCAATTTGACAAAATTTAATAAAATAGGATAACATATATTTTGCATACCAATTGATATTAAGCATGTATTCTAAATAGACATTCAATTTGACCAAATTTTATAAATTTAAAAAAATATGTATTTTACATAAATTCTATATCATAGTTCTTAACAAAAGGCCTAACATATTGTGCTTCACATTTTACCGACGGCCAAGAACCACTGATATAAAAAAAAAAAAAAAATTTGTTGGATTTTTTAATGTGTAAAATAGTAGAACTTATTAAAACCATTACTTAAATTTGTTTTATGGATGCTAAATTTCACAATACATGTGACATGAAAATATAGTATTTTGAAAGAAAGCCTACAATATCTTTGAAATCAAATGATAAACGTCCGACTTTGAGGGGGTGCGAGATGTGCAACCACACAACCCGTCGAAAAAAATTACAACCGAAATTTGACTAATTATATAATTCATATATTAATATATCAACTTTTGTAAATATTTTCGAAGCCTTTTTATAGTTATGTTGGGTAAAATTCTCCGCTCACTTTGCTCCCTTTAGTTATATAACTTATATGACCGAGGTTTGATTCCCACAACCTGCACCTACTTCGTTTATTTCTATTAACCATTTTATCATATTATATATCTTTTCAAGTAAAAAATTTAAATAATGATTTTCAGACCAAGTGCTCCTTTAAGTTATCAACGTTCGAGTCTTGCTACCTTTTCCTTCTGTTCATTTTTATTTATCAATGCCTATATTATCATTTTTCGATTCTATCTCTCACAGATTCCTTAGTTTTTTATTAATCATTTTTTTATTCCTTATGCTTTTTCTAGTTAATTATTTTTATAATACTTATCAATTACTGACTTACAATCGAAAGATCTTCGTTTTCCTCCTTAAATATGTAACATATGTATTTACAGATAACATTACAATTTCATAGATGAAATAAACATAATTGATGATTATGTTGATAAATTGCATGCTTTTTGTTTAAATATCAAAAAATAATAAATACAATTAGTCTTGATGTGTTTTTTTTCCTATTTAAAATTAACTTGTCATTACCGTAAATCTTTTTTGAGGATAACTAATTCGTGTATAGATTATCATGTTTGTTTTTATTATAAATAAGCAGTTTCCTATTTTTAAATAAATAAAATTATAAATACAATTTCTTTATTTCATTAGTTCGCACGATCCATCATATTAAGCACATTCTTTTGACATATGACTATACAAGCCAAGTTAACTTTTTATAAAACTTACAAACATTCCTACTTAAAATCTCTTAACTCCTTAACCATATTTAGTATTTACTATGCAAACAACTATTTTTATAGAAACTTTAAATTTATCTTTGTTCACCATCACTTATTCTTTAAATAACCTTGATTTGACCTTTAGTTATATTATATTTTAATTTTTTTTACAAATAATTAAGAAGTTTTGAAAAGAAAATGTAAAAAAGTGAGGGAGGATAAGGAGAAGGAAGGTGGTGTTGTGTTGTCCGCCTGTTGGTTCATGGGAGGTCGAGCCCCTTCTTTCCTTCTCTCTCTCTCTCTCTCTCAACGCAACAGTTGCATTCTGTACTATTTTTTATACTTCCCACCTATCATCTTCACCTTTTTCTCTGCAACTCTGGTGTGCGTTTTTCTCACTAGTCAAAAAACCTCCAATGCTCAGATTCTTCCTCCATTCACAATTTCATTACCCATAATTTCCCAATTCCCAATTCCCAATTCAAACTATCAAAAATGAAACCAAATCACCCGCAAAAACCTATAATAGCCTGCCCTAACTCTACCTCCACCTCCACCTCTATCCGCGGCGGCGCTTCTTCGGCTACAACTGGACCTGCGCTTAACAGCTTTACCTCTGATGTGACTGGAAAAGGGAAGAACATGTGGGATGAGTTTGATGATCAAGATGCCGGCGTTGATGAGCTGTTGGCAGTGTTGGGATACAAAGTTAAGTCGTCTGATATGGTTGATGTTGCTCAGAAGATTGAGCATCTCGAAGGAGTTTTGGGGAACGATGATGGGCTGTCTCAAATTGCTTCCGATTCCGTTCATTATAATCCTTCTGATCTCTCGTCGTGGCTTGAATCCATGATTTGTGAGCTTAATCCCACAACTGAAGCACCAATGATTGACGATTCGTTTATGAACACCAGCTCAGCTAGCGCCGGTGCCGCTGCTCCCTCGCCTGGTTTAACATCTGTTTTTGTGGACGATCTGCAAGCGATACCCGGGAACGCGATTTATCCTCCGGCGAAAAAAGCAAAACATTCTCCTTCGTCTTCATCGGGTGCCACATCCGCCTCGTCTTCGTATAACTCGAAGCCTAATCCCAACTCGAATTCGGTGGTGCTTGTGGATTCACAAGAAAATGGGATCCGGCTTGTGCATACTTTAATGGCGTGCGCTGAAGCTATTCAACAAGAGAATCTCTCTCTCGCTGAAAACTTGGTTAAACAAGCCGGGATGTTGGCTGTGTCTCAAGCTGGCGCCATGAGGAAAGTCGCTACTTATTTCGCCGAGGCACTTGCCCGGCGAATTTACCGGTTAGCCCCACAGACAACGCAGGAGTCTCCGGCGTTTCAAGATCTTCTACAGATGCATTTTTACGAGACGTGTCCGTACCTCAAATTCGCACACTTCACGGCGAATCAAGCAATATTAGAAGCTTTCGCAGGGAAGAAGAAAGTTCATGTGATTGATTTCAGTATGAAACAAGGGATGCAGTGGCCGGCGTTGATGCAAGCTTTGGCTCTAAGACCCGGTGGTCCTCCAACGTTCCGCTTAACTGGAATCGGGCCTCCCTCCGGTGACAATACCGACCATTTGCAGGAAGTGGGTTGGAAATTGGCTCAATTAGCTGATACAATCCACGTTGAGTTTGAATACAGGGGATTCGTCGCCGAGAGCTTGGCGGATCTTGAACCGGCGATGCTTGATTTAAGAGACGACGAGGTGGTCGCCGTTAACTCGGTTTTTGAGCTTCATCAACTGTTAGCTAGACCAGGGGCGGTCGAGAAGGTTCTATCGGCGGTTAAGGAAATGAAACCGGTGATTTTAACGGTGGTGGAGCAGGAAGCGAATCATAACGGGTTGGTTTTTCTGGAGAGGTTTACCGAGTCATTGCATTATTACTCAACCCTGTTTGACTCGCTTGAGAGCAGTGGCACCGGCGGCGGAGGCGTTGAAGGCGGTGCTATTTCTCCGGCGAGCAACCAAGATAAAATCATGTCGGAAGTGTATCTTGGAAAGCAGATCTGTAACGTGGTTGCATGCGAAGGACCAGACCGAGTCGAAAGGCACGAAACATTGACTCAGTGGAAGGCTCGACTTGACTCATCCGGTTTTGAAGCGGTTCATCTCGGCTCCAACGCGTTCAAGCAAGCCAGCATGTTGTTGGCTCTATTCGCCGGCGGCGACGGCTACCGAGTTGAAGAAAACAACGGTTGTTTGATGCTGGGTTGGCACACTAGGCCACTAATCACCACCTCCGCTTGGAAACTCCGGTGAACTCGACCAAGTCAACTCGGAGATGGCGTGCTAACTCAGTACCTGCAAATCTTTAAAGAAATAAAGAAATTCTCAGATGGCTTTTTCTTTTTAGTTTTCACCAAAGGGGTTCTTAAGTTTTAATCTTTTTTCTAATATCTTTTTTCAGTTTTTAAAAATTGGGGGGTTAAATTGGCAATTAGTTGAAGTTTGAGGGTTGAGAGTTGAACCTTGTACGTTTGCGAGGGGTTGAACGAGATAGGATGAAAATGATATTTAAAAAGATAACTTTCATTCAATCTCCTCCGTAATAAAAAAAAAGTTACTTTTTGGTGGGGGTTGTGTATGTGATGTAAAAAAAGGATCAAAATTGGAGTTTGTGGGATTTACAGAAATAATCAATTAAATTATGTGTACTTTCGTATGTATAGTATCTTTAATATTTAAAACGGTTTTATTTTAATTATTTTGTTAATAGCCTTAATTTTATAATAATGAATATAGTGTAGTATTCAAATACATATGATTATCGATATAGTGTAATATCCTTAATTTTATATCCTTGATTTTATAATAATGAATATAGTGTAGTATTCAAATACATATGATTATGAATAAAACGCACAACGAATATGAAATGAATAGGAATTTAGCACACAAAAAACAAGTTATTGATATTTAAAATGACTATTATGTTTTTATTTTAATAAATTAAAATAGTGTTTTTAAGGTAAGATAAGACGAGGTTGGGTGAGGTTTAATGTGTATTTATTTAAATAAATTAAAAAATTAAAGATAAAATAGTCAATAACGTTCAATAAAAACAAATAAAAAAACACATTTCAAGTTAAAAAAACAAATTAAAGACAAAACATATAAATCATCCCAAACTATAGAATTATTCTTGTAATTTAGTCATATTGGAATGCTTATAGTTCGAGAAAGAAGGAATATAAATTTGGTTGTTTGAAGTGCTTATAATATAATTATATTGAATATGTTCAATATATGTGTATAAAAAATTGCGTTATTATATTGAAGAAATTATTTGGTGCACTTCGTTGAATTAACTAATATGGATTTTTTATTTTTATTATTTTTTATTTTTTTAATGGCCGAATAAACTGTATATAACCACAGAAAAGAAATGAGTATGTTTTTTAGAGATAATATATTAATAATCCATATTATTTATAACTAATTTACCGCAAAATGTTTTTAAAATATGCTAATAATGTTCTTATGACGTGTCAAATAACGAATAAAATATTGCCATAGAGTAAATTACAATTTTGGTATAAGGTGGGTTACACTTAAACCATTTCCGAATTATTTTCATTTTTTTCTTCAAAAATAAAGTAAAAAATAGAGTAAATTTGGTCTAAAGTGGTTTACATTTACACCATCTCCAACTCATTTTTATTTTTTTCTTAAAAAACGGAGTAAAAAATAGAATAAATAGTATTTCATCTCCAACCATATTCTATTTTTTATCCTACTTTTACCCCCAAAAAATATATTAATAATATATTTCATTATTCAAATTTACATACATTGTCAAACACATACCTCTACTAATTTAGCTTTAACAAATATATAATCTATATATATTTTTTTCATTACAATCATATTAAATACAAAATATTATATTTATAATAAACTTATAAATAAATATTATACATGCATTTAAAAAAAGTTACACATACATACTTTTAAATAAATATTATACATACATTTATATAAATATTAGACATGCACATTTTTAATTATAAGTTTTTGTAAAATACGTTATCGTTTTTTAAAATTTTAATATATATTTAAAATTTTATATGAATTTAATGAATAAAAAATAAACTTTATATTTATAATTAATTAATATAATTTAATATATAACAAAATATTATAAGTATTAAATATTATATTTAAATTATAATTAGTAGGTAAAATTGAACCAGAAATGAATAAATATATAAACAGTGGCACTAAAGCCGTCAACGCAAAGTTCATCTCCATTTTGGGATAAATCAATAGTATAACACCATATTTGGTGTAATACTACTCAAATCCCCAAAATGAAGGAATAAATGGGGGAGGGTTGGAGAAGAATGGTGGAAGAAATATAGGGAAAAAATGGAGAATGAGAGTGAGTTGGAGATGCTCTTATATACATTTTTAATCTAATCATTTAAATTTTGGCATTGCTCCTCTTTGTAGTTTTCGAAAGTTTCATGTATGGTATTTTTGACCGTTACCTGTAACATCCTATTTTGGGTCGTTTCTTAATTTGGGGCCGTGATCCGAAGTTTGATTATTATAAGGCTTTGGGCTTTGAGGGAAGAAAGGATTAGACCTTATTAATGGTTGATAATGTTGTTTACAAAGCTGATAACATCCATTTTATACATAGATTCATGGTGTCTACTTATTATTTTATACTATGTTTATGCTATTTAGAACTAAAAGATACTTATAATGCTTAAATTTGCATTTTACAGGCATAAATTGTTGCTAGAGAGGAAAGGAAGCGAAAGATTGGAATTGGAGCTGAATTGCAAAAAGCAAAGAAGTGTCTGAAAATGCCCATTACGCCTAATGTAATGGGGAACACCCAACGTTCGCAGCTGGGTCGCTAACTCAGAAAACACGATTTTTTACACTTTACGCCCATCGTAATTTACCTACATCCAGCGTACGAGAGTCGGTTCCAAAACCTATATATTGCGATCTAGGGTGGATGAGAAGAGATATTATGACTTTTACTGATCATTTGTCGATAAGAAACACATCTTCTACCTTTTTGAGGGTCTAGAAGGCGGTCGAAAGGTCGTTAAGCTGACAGGAGCGAAGATCTGAAGGATTATGTGTAACATCCTGTTTCAAATCGTTTCATAATTTAGGGTCATGACCCGAAGACCAGTTATCATAAGGCTTCAGGCCTTGGGGGAAAGAGTGATTTAGACCCCTTTGGATGTAGGTAACGTATATTAGGTGATTTGAGAGTTCGGTTGGTGCTTTGGAGCCCAAGGGTATAACCGTAAAGTGATAGTTCGATCCTTTTATGAGTTCTGGATTTAAGTTCGTTAAGTATTAAGGATAAAGAGATTAATAGGGTTGTAGAGCTTCTCAACACCTTTCCGTGGATATAAAGATCGTTGAAATCGGAGTTGAAACGATGAAGTTATGACTGTTCGAATTTGGAAAAGATTTTTGGGAAAAGTTGGTCTCACAAACATGAGCAGTTGGAACTCATGATATGAGAAGCGATTAACTGGAAATGATGATTTAAATTGTGCTCATGACGTGAGCATTAGAGGCTCACGACATAAGAACTGTGCAGCCCCAACACACGAGATTTTAGGATTTTCAACATATATAAGGGTTGGTTCCGTTTTTTAGGGCATTTTATGAGTCTCCATCATATCTAGATCATCTTGAGAGAAAACCTAGCTCTCATTTCACCATTTTGATCCTCCCCTATCATCTTCCATCCATTTATGAAGATTTTGGTGCTTTGAAGATGAAAAAGATGTTCTTGGTGCTTAGATCCAGTAAGCAAGTTGCCTCACCACCTTAAAGATCATACCTTGGACCATGGTAAGTCCTCAAGATCCAACCTTTATGTGATATTCTTATAAGATCTATACTTTTATGCCTTTTTCTTCGTGTTGGAGGTGGTTTGAGTGGTTGGATTCCATAAAGTTGGTAGCTTTATGGATCCATGAGGCCCTTTCGAGGTTTGGTGTACTAGATCTATGGTTTGGTTGAGTTTTGGTCCCATGAATGAGATTTGGATCTCATTTTCTCCATTTTGACCTAATCAAGTTCAAGACATGCATTGGACATGCATGTCCATAAAGTAAATATTTTTATCTTAATTTTGATGTATGAAAGCCCTCTGGAAAGTTGGAATGGATGACTTAATGGATTAACATTAGGATTTAGTATCATACATGGATCACAATTGACATATGTTATGTTTTGATGCTAGATACCTATGTGTCTCATACATATGTTATGTTTTTATATGTTTACCGCGTAGGGCCCGATGTTAGGCAAGGCCCGATTGTTATTTTGTATGCTATTACCTTTGTTATACTTGTATGTATTGGATATTGGGCGGGGCCCGTCATGTAAGTTAGGGCGAGGCCCGTTATACTTAGTGGGGGGGGGGGTTTGCGAGTTAGGGCGAGGCCTATTATACTCAGTGAACGGGGCCTGTTATGTGAGTTAGGGAGAGGTCCGTTATACTGAGTGGGCGGGATCCATTATGCGAGTTAATGTGGGGCCCGTTATATGGTTGATATGTATTGTATGTGGTATGTTGGGGGAGCTCACTAAGATTTGTGCTTACGATTTTCAGTTTATGTTTCATGTACTTCTGTTTCGAAAAGGAAGAGCTCGGGATGACTGCATTGTGCACAACACATTATTTCGTATAATACATGACTCGGATTTACTTGGATGTTTATTGATACACTCTGATTCACTATGGTTTTTATGATATTGTTTTGGATAATGGTTTTATTAATGTATAAATCAAAATGTTTAGTCTAAATTTTTGGGACGTTACAAGTTGGTATCAGAGCCTTGGTTTGTGGGATCCGGGCATTCTCTCGGGCGTGTCTAAACTGAAACTGAGGATTTGGTAGATTTTTCAAAATCAATGTATTATAAAAAAAGTTTTCAAATAAAAGAAAAGGGATGTGGTGCATGCAATAGACCGAGCTTAAGTAAGTTTTACCAAAATACCCATACATGTTTATGTTAAGCTTTGAATTGTGAATATGTGAATCGCATGCTAGATTATGGCTAAGGATCTGCTCAAGATTGCATGATAGAATGCTAGGAGAGATGCCTTTTTATGCCTACTATATGAGCTTGTAGAATTGCATGCTAATACTGATTAATCAGTGATAGGGTGGTCTATTTTGGTTATGCTTGTTTCGATTACTCGATGCTCTAATGCTGCTTGCTTTTTGCTTTTAGGAGTTTCCATTAACCTTAGCTAACTAGTGAGGGAG